TATAAAATGCCAACAAGATATGTGGGCCACACAGAATCCTGTCTCAGTTGGGGATGGGAAGCAGCAGGGGAGCAGCAGTCTGTCACCAGTAATTTTGTTTCACAAGCGTATAAGCATTTATTTGCATTTGCCCAGTGGGGTAGACATCTGATGTTACTGGTGTGTGCCTGAGTCCACCCCTGCTCATGCCATCAGTGCTGCTGTGCCTGGGTATGCTGCTGCCCCGAGCCTGTACTGCCTGGGGCGTGGCCGGGGTGGGAGCTGTGTGCTGGGGCTCCCATGTTAGGACAGTTACCATGTCGCAGCGCTCGTGTCGGGTCTGAATGACTGGTCTGGCTGAAGGGAGCGCAAGCAAATAGAGCATGTAAGACCTGAATATACCTCAACTCTGTTCCAGCAGGGTCTTATCCACATCAGCCATAGCTTGGAGCCTGGCCATATTTCTTGACTGTGTGGTGCATGTTTTGGTTTTCATTTCTGATATGCTCAATATAAGAACATCAGGTTTCCATGATGTCAGGATACCTTTCAAGTATCCATGTTCCAGACATTGTTGAAGGCCCATAATGGTATGTTTCTGGTGCATGTTATTAGTGACCAACCTTCCCAGATCCTCATTATTGTGCCTGATTTGTTCTTTAGTGTTAGCTAAGTGTTGGTGATATGGAGGCATATTACCTATGTGATATAAAGACCCTTAATAATGTCTGTTTTGTGCTCTACTTCAGGTAATGATGGACAAGCGCAAGGTGAATGGGACAGGCTCATCTGGTCCCTCCAAACGACTCAGGTATGACAAGTTTAACACTCACTTAAGCATGTCATTTGCATAACCAGACATTGTTTGATTTCACAAAATTGGTACAGCACAGGATTACACTGGCAGCAATTGGATTGGAAGGGAGGATTTCTTAGCAGCTGGGAAGGACCTTGTGCATACCAGACTATGATAAAGTTATGCCAGTCCTCAAGGTTGTATTTCAACAGAAAGCTTGAAAAGGTACAAAAGTTATGAAAACTGTTTTTGTTGTTTATTAACCATGAACCACTATGTACATAACCAAAATTCTGTCAACATGTTTTCTGCACAGAGGAGATGGAGAAGATTTCCCAAGATCAACATTTGAGGAAGAAATGGCATTAATGGAGTCAATGGAACTTGATGAAGCTGCCGGGGATGGCCCTGAAGTGCAGGTCTGTTACAGGTCCTCACATGCATGGGTATCTCATTGGTGTGTGCAGCATTTTACTTGAGTCCTGCAAGTAATGCTTTGTTTTTATAATAGCATGGCAGCTAAGATTAATGTCAGCTGTTGTCAGCTCAACACATGGAGGGGATTAGGTTGACCACAACATAGTCACTAACATTTGATCGGTCCAGCCGTCATGCCAAATATGCCTTTGTTCAAACTAGCCCAAATCCATTCATTGCCACACTGTCAGGTTTGGCCAGTTTTAACCCCATTTGACCCCTCATAATTGTGGTGATGAAATAACTATGACAACTGGTTTGGTTGTTTTGATCAGCATGTAATCCATCAGTGACTGCAGGATGAAGCCAGCCCCTAGACAACGCCGACCGGTGTAGAGCCAGACAACTGGCATTTGAACAGCTAGAGTTCAGAGCATGGAAGTGCTGTTGGTATCTAAGATGCACTCTGCCAATGACATCACAAAGAGTGGCATGAAAATGGTGAAGGCGAGCAGCCTATCCCTATCAACCAATTTTGCGGCTGGGACCAATAGCTTGCTGCTCACTGTTTATTACCCTTGGTGCTGGCAGGGTCCTGAGAGCCAGGAAGTCAACATCAAGTGGAGTCGGCCGCCGCTGCCGCCGCTAGACCCCAGCCAGGATGCCATCATCTTCCAGCAGATGGAGACCGACTACTACCTGGGTGAGGGAGTCATTCTGGCTTACCTCTCTAGTCAGCTGTGCAACATTGCCGTCCAGCGGTGTGTGGCGGCTCTACCCTACGATGGAGCGGCTGGAACGCCATGATGCAGATGCTGTGCTTGCAGATGCACGACACTGTCCAAGCCACAGCCTCGGTCACGCGTTGGTGCGCCGGTGAGGTCAGCTCCCGGTCCCCCGCCAGGCGACCCGTCTGATGCGCTCTCTCGGCCGTCAGGTGCACCGCTGCCGGGCATGCCCGGGGCGCAGGGCGGCACCGTGCCCATCATGCGCATGTTCGGCGTCACGGCCGACGGCCACTCGGTCTGCTGTCACGTTCACGGCTTCGCACCCTACTTCTTCGTGTCGGCGCCGGACCGGTTCACGCCCGAGCTGTGCGGCTCGTTCCAGGTGGGTGCTGTGGGAGACCGGTGCACGCCGCCGAGCGCGGCTGGTGTGGGAGACCAGTGCGCGCCGCCGAGCGCGGCTGGTGTGGGAGACCGGTGCGCGCCGCCGGGCGCGGCTGGTGTGGGAGACCAGTGCGCGCCGCCGGGCGCGGCTGGTGTGGGAGACCGGTGCGCGCCGCCGGGCGCGGCTGGTGTGGGAGACCGGTGCGCGCCGCCGGTCGCGGCTGGTGTGGGAGACCGGTGCGCGCCGCCGGGCGCGGCTGGTGTGGGAGACCGGTGCTGTAGTGTGGACTCCTGACTGTCGCGCAGACTGTGCGCGTATGACGTGTGTTCGCGTTCGTTCTGAGGAGCCCGATGGGCATCTGCTGTGCTATCTGACTGTGGTTGTACACCAGCGACAGCTTGTATCGATGCCGAGTTGCACCGGCTGCGGCCCGATGCCGGCGACTGCGCCGCCCGTGCTGCAGCACAGCCAAAGGCATCGGAACCATCGCCCTCGTCATCAGCCAGCAGTGCTCTGCGGCATTCTCCCACGGATCGCTGTATCGTCTTCTGTGGCGTAGACGACGGCGGTGCCGCGGCGCCTAAAACAGGATTCCAGTCGCGTGTGCAGGCCGTAAATCGTAATGTCTGCTACCATTATCCTGATTCCCCACGGCTTCTGCACGCGCAACGGTTCGCGCACTCACGGTGGCCTAACGGCGCGTCTCCCTGTGAGCCGGCGATCTCCGCCCGTCCTGCAGCGAAGCCCCTCCAACGTCGCTCCCTGCTGAGGCGCCTCCCCCCCCCCCCCGCCCTGCAGCGCAGCCCCTCCAACGCCACGCCCTGCTGAGCCGCCTTCCTCCTCCCCCCCCCTCCCGCCCTGCAGCGAAGCCCCTCCAACGTCGCTCCCTGCTGAGGCGCCCCCCCGCCCCTCCCGCCCTGCAGCGCAGCCCCCTCCCCTGACGTCACTCCCTGCTGAGCCTCCTTCCCCTCCCCCTCCCGCCCTGCAGCGCAGCCTCTCCAACGTCACGCCCTGCTGAGCCGACCTCCCCGCCCCCCCCCCTCCCGCCCTGCAGCGAAGCCCCTCCAACGTCGCTCGCTGCTGAGGCGCCTCCCCCCCCCCCCCCCCTCCCGCCCTGCAGCGCAGCCCCTCCAACGTCACGCCCTGCTGAGCCGCCTTCCCCTCCCCCCTCCCGCCGTGCAGCGCAGCCCCCCGACGTCACTTCCTGCTGAGCCGCCTTCCCCTCCCCCCCCCCCCCTCCCGCCCTGCAGCGAAGCCCCTTCAACGTCACTCCCTGCTGAGCCGCCTTCCCCTCCCCCTCCCGCGCTGCAGCGAAGCCCCTCCAACGTCACTCCCCGCTGAGCCGCCCCTCCACTCCCCTCTCCCGCCCTGCAGCGCAGCCCCCCCCCCCCCCCCCCCCGATGTCACTCCCTGCCAAGCCGCCCCTCCCCTCCCCCCCTCCCTGCAGCGTAGCTCCTCCAACGTCACTCCCTGCTGAGCCGCCCCTCCCCTCCCCGCAGCGTTGCCTGAATACAGCCATGATGCGCGAGGTGAAGAGCGTGGCGGAGGTGCCGCAGGCGGTGCTGGACGTGGAGCTGGTGCAGCGGCAGTCCATGTACGGCTACCAGGGCGGTGGCCTGGTGCCGTTCCTGCGCATCACGGTCGCCCAGCCGCGCCTGGTGCCGGTCGCCAAGCGGCTGCTGGAGCGGGGTGAGGTGGTGCTGCCGCAGATCGGCAACCATCAGTACCACGCTTACGAGTCCAACGTCGACTTTGAGATCAGGTTAGAGGCTGGTGTGTCGACTGCTGTCCATCTCACCGGCTGACCGCCCCGTATGTCGTCTCCAGGTCCATGACCGACCCGTATGTCGGCCTCAGGTCCATGACTGACCCGTATGTCGTCCCCAGGTCCATGACTGACCCGTATGTCGTCCCCAGGTCCACGACTGACACGTATGTCGTCCCCAGGTCCGTGACTGACCCGTATGTCGTCTCCAGGTCCATGACTAACCCATGTGTGGTCCCCAGGTCCGTGACTGACCCATATGTCGTCCCCAGGTCCGTGACTGACCCGTATGTCGTCCCCAGGTCCATGACTAACCCATGTGTGGTCCCCAGGTCCATGACTGACCCGTATGTCGTTCCCAGGTCCATGACTAACCCATGTGTGGTCCCCAGGTCCGTGACTGACCCATATGTCGTCCCCAGGTCCATGACTGACCCGTATGTCTTCCCCAGGTCCATGACTGACCCGTATGTCGTCCCCAGGTCCACGACTGACCCGCATGTCGTCCCCAGGTCCATGACTGACCCGTATGTCGTCCCCAGGTCCGTGACTGACCCGTATGTCGTCCCCAGGTCCATGACTGACCCATGCGTGGTCCCCAGGCTCATGACTAACCCATGTGTTGTCCCCAGGTTCATGATCGACACGGACGTCGTGGGCTGTAACTGGATCGACCTGCCGGCCGGCTGCTGGCGGCGCCGCGGACACCAGGGCGCCGCCTCGCCGCCGGCCACCTCACACTGTCAGCTGGAGCTCGACGTGGCCTGGGACAAGTTCGTCTCTCACGCGCCGGAGGGCGAGTGGCAGAAGGTGGCGCCCATCCGCATCCTCAGCTTCGACATCGAGTGCTCCAACAGGAAAGGTGCGTCGCGCGCCACATGCCGCCGGGAGAAAGGGGGTGGGGGGGGGGGGGGGGGAGGCGTGGTGGTTGTCCGTCAGCTATTGTTGGCGGTCTGCTTTGTTAAGTGGGTAGATGCAGCTAGTGTCTGTTTTGGGTAACGGGTTATATTTACGATGCGTTTGACCTGTCACGGTGGATCATGGTGGCATGTCGCTTGTCAGTGGTCTTTGTCGGGGATCTGTCTTCAATTTCGCATCTGCCGTGGTGTTCTCATCAGCTGCAAAGCAGCGCGGTCTTGTTATCACACGGGATTATTTCATGCTCACCCTGGATAGAGGGCTCTCCTGCCTATGGCTTTAAGAGTAAGCGCTCACTCGTGGTATGTGTTTATGTTTGATGTCGGTCACTACAGTCACCATGCGGAGGCGTGACGTGTGATGACGTTTGTGAGCCGTTGAATGATCGTCCTTTTTGGGCCCGGACGATTGGCTTCAATCTGGTTTTTATTCGTCGAAGGCTGCATGCATTTAGTTTTTTTGGGCTCCCTCACTATTGTGTCGAGGTAGTTGTTTTGTAATGTTTTACCGTGGTGTTGTTTGGAAGCATGTTTTGTGTTTTCCTGTGCTTTCTTGGATCAGTGGTTTAATTTTATCCATTTGTTTGTCATTGCCATGTCTGATCCCTTTCTTATTCTTTCATTTCTCCTGCAGCAGGTTTGATCATAGTGGATCTGTATATTCATTTATGTCTAGATTTGTCTACTTATCAATATTTGTATCTTGCTTATATGTGCATATATATATATATATATATATGCATATAAAATGTGTGCGTCTGCGTATGAGTGCGCGTGCGTGTGTGCGTGCATATGTATAACAATGTTGATTGTTTTTCGAAGCGTGGTGCTGCCGTTGGCGGGCAGCGGGGCGGCGTTTCCGCCGCGTAGCCGGTACTTTTCCCCTGTGCCGGGCCGGAGCCGCGCCTCCTGCCACCTGGCACTGATTTAGTGCCACGCGGGACTGCCCCAGGCGTCTTCCCCGAGCCCGACAAGGATGCCGTCATCCAGATCGCCAACATGGTCATCAACCAGGGTGAGCGCGACCCCTTCATCCGCAACATCTTCACACTCAAGTCGTGCGCGCCCGTCGTCGGGTCCGACGTGCGGAGCTACGAAGAGGAGGCCAAACTGCTTAAGGTCAGCACGCTGGAGGAGACGGGCCGCCCGGGGCTTGTGGCCGCGGAGGTCAGTGTCCTCAGCACGAGCTGCCGGGGTAAGTGGCCTTAAGTAGGCGTTTAATGATGAAATTCAACTGAGCGATTGGCCCAGAGCCGCTGGTGAGAGCTGTCCTGGACGTATGTTACAGGCCTTGATAGCTCTTCAGCAGCGTTGTGGCTTTCACGTGGTGCGTGCTTTTCACTGTCTGACTCCTGTCAACACTGGATTCCGTTGCACTGATGTAGACGTTGTGTGTATAAAAAGAAAACTGGTAATGAAGTTGTCGTCCATCGTGAGCGGTTATAGTATACTTGCTGAAAAATTGAAATATGGCGTATCGAATTCCATACGCTTTGTTTAGTTACATGGTTTTGAGGTGTTATTTCTCGGTCATGTTTTTAAAGGCGGAAAGAGTTGAAAGCTGCTTATGCTCTTATGTACGACCATGGAAGCTGTAATGTTTTATTTTGAAATATTGCAGGCATAAATAAGACATGCTTGAACGGCCACTTCAGCCCGCTGGGTAGCCCGCCGCCTTGTTGCGTTGTAAAGCAAGTCACGGCCGGTAACGCTGCGGTCATCTGACGCTTGCAGGACTGGGCGGACTTCATACGACAGGTGGATCCCGACATCATCACTGGCTACAACATCAACAACTTCGACTTGCCCTACCTCATCAACAGGGCCAAGGCCAAGAACGTCGCCACCTTCCCCTTCTTGGGAAGGATACGTAACAAACTGTGGGTTACATGCTGTTTCGCTGCGTTTCCCGGTTCGCGTCGCTAAGAGTGCATGTTGTGTTTCACAATTGTTGTTCCGCTGCTTCTTCGACTATGCTGGGAAGTCGGGGAGGTCAACCTCGTAGTATGTTGCGACACAACTGATGAGGTTCCAGACTGGGGATGACCACTGGTGTTTATGGTGTCTGGTTCTTGGTGGGTGGCCAGTCACACCATCGTCACTGTGCGCTGCAGGACGGTCGTGAAGGAAACAATGCTGCAGAGCAAGCAGATGGGCCGCCGAGAGAACAAGACCATCAACACCGAGGGCCGCACTCAGTTTGATCTGATCATGGTAGGCAGCGAGGACCGGGTGAAGTTTGATCTGATCATGGTAGGCAGCGAGGACCGGGTGAAGTTTGATCTGATCATGGTAGGCAGCGGTGGCCGGGTGAAGTTTGATCTGATCATGGTAGGCAGCGGTGGCCGGGTGAAGTTTGATCTGATCATGGTAGGCAGCGGGGATCCGGTGAAATTTGGTCTGATCATGGTAGGCAGCGGGGACCGGGTGAAGTTTGATCTGATCATGGTAGGCAGCGAGGACCGGGTGAAGTTTGATCTGATCATGGTAGGCAGCGAGGACCGGGTGAAGTTTGATCTGATCATGGTAGGCAGCGGAGACCGGGCGAAGTTTGATCTGATCGTGGTAGGCAGCGGGGACCGGGTGAAGTTTGATCTGATCATGGTAGGCAGGGGGGCCGGGTGAAGTTTGATCTGATCATGGTAGGCAGCGGGGACCGGGTGAAGTTTGATCTGATCATGGTAGGCAGCGGGGACCGGGTGAAGTTTGATCTGATCATGGTAGGCAGCGGAGACCGGGTGAAGTTTGATCTGATCATGGTAGGCAGCGGGGACCGGGTGAAGTTGATCTGATCATGGTAGGCAGCGGAGACCGGGTGAAGTTTGATCTGATCATGGTAGGCAGCGGGGACCCGGTGAAATTTGGTCTGATCATGGTAGGCAGCGGGGACCGGGTGAAGTTTGATCTGATCATGGTAGGCAGCGAGGACCGGGTGAAGTTTGATCTGATCATGGTAGGCAGCGAGGACCGGGTGAAGTTTGATCTGATCATGGTAGGCAGCGGGGACCGGGTGAAGTTTGATCTGATCATGGTAGGCAGCGGGGACCGGGTGAAGTTTGATCTGATCATGGTAGGCAGCGGAGACCGGGTGAAGTTTGATCTGATCATGGTAGGCAGCGGGGACCGGGTGAAGTTTGATCTGATCATGGTAGGCAGCGGGGACCGGGTGAAGTTTGATCTGATCATGGTAGGCAGCGGGGATCCGGTGAAATTTGATCTGATCATGGTAGGCAGCGAGGATCTGGGGAAGTTTGATCTTATCATGGTAGGCAGCGGGGACCGGGTGAAATTTGATCTGATCATGGCAGGTAGCGGGGACCCGGGGAAGTTTGATCCGATCAAGGTAGGCAGTGGGGATCTTATGAAGTTTGCTATGATCATCAAATGTTTGTGTCATGAAATCGCTGATTTAAAGTAAGTGCGTAGGGGCGCATTGCGTGATGTCTGGTAATGACTGTTTTAAACGTGTCGTCATGCTGGTCAGCCGCCGCCACCTCCGGGAGAATTATCTACGTTTTCTGGTGCAGGACAAGACTGCGTTCACGTGACATTGATATCCATTACAATGTGGCGATCACATTGTACTGGATATCATACGACATCAGCTGGTTAAGTCAAGCCATGCGATCTGTACGTCTCTTCACGGTCCGGCGCGCCGAGCGGAGGGCGTGTGCCGCTCCGGGGAATACGCGAGGCACCGCCGAACGGCTGGGCTACGGTCTCGCGTCTGTTCAGCTGTGGCGCCGTAGAGAGTTGGGACGTCGATGAGAGCTGCCGCCCGCGCGCGCTGACCGCCAATCGACCGGACCGCCGTCTGCCGCCGTTCCAGTTCCTGCGGCGGGAGTACAAGCTGCGCTCCTACTCGCTGAATGCCGTTTCGTTCCACTTCCTGCAAGAGCAGAAGGAGGACGTGCACCACAACATGATCAGCGTGCTGCAGGAGGGGGACGCCCAGACCCGGCGCAGGTGGGAGATCCGAGCTGCTGGTGGAGGGGTAGGGGACGCCCAGACTCGGCGCAGGTGCGGACATTCCAACCACTGGGGATAGAGGGAGGGAGGGGGGGGGGGGGGGCACCACCCGGCTGCAGGCGGCTGCATTGTCCTGTGAGCAGCTCAAGCTGGTGATCATCATCGTCACCATGGCCATGAGGACGACCCTAATGGGAATGGTGATGAGATGCGCGTTGCCTGCAGGCTGGCAGTTTACTGTCTGAAGGACGCCTTCCTGCCGCTGAAGCTGATCGACAAGCTGATGTGTGTCATCAACTACATGGAGATGGCGCGTGTCACTGGCGTGCCCATGTCCTTCCTGCTCACTCGCGGCCAGCAGATCAAGGTGGTCTCGCAGCTGCTGAGGAAGGTACGCCTGCCGCAGCTGCGCCCCTCGTCCAGCCGTGGCGCGCCGGGTTCTCCTCTGCTCCCGCGGCGTGCGATCACTGCCGCTGTACTTTTGTACTTTTGTCAAGGTGCTACTTTGCAGCTATTTCCTGAATTATCGCCCTCTTCTGTGAGATACTTCCTTCGACACGAGCTTTGCGCACTATTACCGTTCCGTGATGTGTGCTGACAGTCGGATCTGGTCTGGCCGGATCGGGTTCGACGGTCTTGGGACGTGAATTAGATCAGTTTCTAGAGTGGCTCGCACGTGAGCTCGAAGTCAATCTGAGATGTTGCATAGCCTTTCCATCTCATGAAATCACTAAAAACTTGATTGGGCTGTCTGTGGAAACATTTTCTTTCACAAGCTGACGAGTGACAGCAGCGAGCCGTGTTTGTTGGAGCCGACCATTCAACCCTGTCTCCACCTGGCCCACCTCCAGCGATAGTAAACAGCACCTAGCCGTACATACTGAGGACGGCCATCCTCCCTGTCGCCTCTTATCTATTGGGCCGTTTTGACTGGCCTCTCCGCCACACTCAGCGCCACGTTGTGTCCGCCAGGCGCGCCAGCAGAACCTGGTGATGCCGGTGTACGAGAACAAGGGCGGCGATGCCGGCGAGTCTTTCGAGGGCGCCACCGTCATCGAGCCGATCAAGGGCTACTACGATGTGCCGATCGCCACGCTGGACTTCAGCAGCCTGTACCCCAGCATTATGATGGCGCATAACCTGTGCTACACTTCTCTACTACAGCCGGGCGCCGCCGAGCGGCTGGGGTACGGTCCCGCGCGCCGAGCGGAGGGGGTTGGTGCTCTGGGGAGCACCCGGGGCGCCGCCGAGCGGAGGGGGTGTGCTGCTCTGGGGGGCACCTGCCTCTCCGCAGCACTGGCGTATGACCCCGCTCCCTGCTTGCACTCGTCCTTACTCGCCCATGACCCATGTTTTTTTTTTAATCTAAAGGCCTGTTTTTAATCTGAAGGCCTTTTTTGTCCTCGGTGTCATGTTTTTGTGTGAAGTCCAAGCATGCTGTGGAAAGAAATTGTGTGACAATATCGTATCGGATGGTGGGTACTACGATGCAACATACTGTTATGTTTTTATGGTACGAAACCACATCGATCCGGTAAACAATGGTGGTGTGGTTCTGATGAGCGGGGAAAGGTAATGCCTTTCGTCACCCTTAAAGACCCCTCGCACATGATCGTGCATCGCGCGGGTATTGGTCACACAAAGCTCACGTAAAGGGCTACATCGCTGTAATATAAAGGGAAATGACACCTGTATGAGGTTCTGGGCAGTTAGTGATCAGGCTGGTCAGCGCGGGTCGATAGGATGGGACGGGCGCTGAGTGACGTCACGTCAGGTGTGCCCCACGGCGTCCGTCAGCTGGGCAGAGCGCGTGGTTTACCCCGCCGCTGTCCCGTCCTTCGGCAGCTGTTGCCGTTCGCCTGTGATGTGAGTGCTAACTGCTGAGGCTGGCTCCGGCCGGGCGCCGTCGAGCCGCCCGTGACATGACCTGACCTCTGAGGTCGGCCGGCGGCCGGACCCGGCCCGCTGACCCGGCCGGTGCCTGACCTCGAACCGCGGCTGGCCGGCAGCCTGCAGCCGGACCAGTTCATCCGAACACCGTCCGGCAACCAGTTCGTGAAGCCGTCGCTGCGGCCCGGCCTGCTGCCCGAGATCCTGCGCGAGCTGCTAGCCGCGCGCAAGAAGGCCAAGGGCGACCTCAAAAAGGAGACGGACCCGCTGCGCAAGCAAGTGCTGGATGGCCGGCAGCTGGCGCTCAAGGTGCGACAAATCGATCGGGGCTGGTGGCATGGGAGACAGAAAGTCAGGTGCCCGTGTCAACCCTGGAAAGTCGCCCTTTGCTGCCTAGTGCCAGTCGTTTGTGACTCCATGATATGTGTTGACTGTCTGCCACCGGCGGTATAGACCCCGCTGCTCTTGATTACTGGAGGGGGGGGGGGGGGGGAGGGGGCAGTTTGTTTCGCACTCACCTGTTCATTTCTGGTGCTCCCCGTCCATGTTGCTTGGCGCTCCCGTGTTAAATGCACGGTGCTCTCTTTCGGCTGTATATGCTTTTCGCCAGATGCCGTTCTCTTAAGTGACTTATCAGCGTCTCGGTGGCAGCGGTCTGTGTGGGCTCATGTATGGCGTGTGCCGCCGAGGAACGCCCGCGACGCTGGCGGGTCTGCTCCTTTGTGTCGCGTGCCGCCCATGAGACGCCCGCGGCGCTGGCGGGTCTGCTCCTTTGTGTCGCGTGCCGCCCATGAGACGCCCGCGCCACCGGCAGATCAGCGCCAACTCTGTGTACGGCTTCACGGGTGCCACGGTCGGCAAGCTGCCCTGCCTGGAGATCTCGCAGAGTGTCACCGCCTTTGGCCGGCTGATGATCGAGCAGACCAAGGCCGAGGTTGAGGCCCGCTACAACGTCGCCAACGGCTACAAGCACGACGCCAAGGTGGGGACGAGGGCAGGTCAGGTCAGGTCAGGTCAGGTCAGGGCAACCGAGCTCCGCGTGACGGTGGACACGTCCGCGTCCGGGCCACCCGCTGCCTCGACCCGACAAGGATTACATTGAGATGGGCGCTTAAAGTTGTATGCGTAAGGGACGGGAAGTATGATGATTTGTTGATGGACAGCACCTTAGGCGCATGTTATCATCGTTGATTACATATGCCAGAGTTGACCGGAAATAGCCGAGGTGGGTTTCTTCGTCGGAGAGGGAAGCCCATCAGCCAGCGATCGGCGATTGTTCGTTCGTGGTTCGTGGATGGCTGGTTCGTGGTCGGAGGTGGCGAAGCTCGGAGAGGGCTGCGGGTCGGGCGTGGTGGGCCCGGGATCAGGAGCTGACGTCGAGCTGCCGTCTCCAGGTGATATATGGCGACACGGACTCGGTGATGGTGCGCTTCGGCGCCAGCACGGTCAAGGACGCCATGGAGCTTGGAAAGGAGGCGGCCGCCTTCGTCTCCGACAAGTTCATTCAGCCGATTAAGCTGGAGTTTGAAAAGGTACGATCGGCGAGTGTCGGCCCGCTGGGTAGCTACGCTGGAGTCACTGCTATATATATATATATATATATATATATATATATATATATATATATATATATATATATATATATATCTGTGTGTGTGTGTGTGTGTGTGTGTGTGTGTGTGTGTGTGTGTGTGTGTGTGTGTGTGTGTGTGTGTGTGTGTGTGCGTGCGTGCGTGCGTGCGTGCGTGCGTGCGTGCGTGCGTGCGTGCGTGCGTGGGTGTGTGTGGGTGTGTGTGTGTGTGTGTGTGTGTGTGTGTGTGTGTGTGTGTGTGTGTGTGTGTGTGTGTGTGTGTGTGTGTGTGTACATTATTACAGCCGTCAAACAATAGGATCAGAAGCAGTGTTCAATAAGCCCACTGAGCCCGTGGTGTGTTTGGAGGGGGCGGGGGGGGGGGGGGGTCTGAGGAACTACATTTGCAAAGCATAGGTTCTACGAGCGGTAAAGCTAAGCGGTACATATTCTCTTATTCCAGCGGTGGTGACGTCCGCATCCGCCATATTTGTGTGCGAAGGCCAGTCGGGCATAAAGTACCGCGGCACGGTGAGCGGGAGCATGCTGTCTGCCCAACGCAGCCTCTGGGCTGGTCGCAGGTGTACTTTCCGTATCTGCTGATCAACAAGAAGCGGTACGCGGGCCTGTACTTCACGCGGCCCGAGGTGCACGACAAGATGGATTGCAAGGGCATCGAGACTGTGCGGCGCGACAACTGCCCCCTGCTCGGCAACCTCATCAACGTCTGCCTGCAAAAGCTACTCATCGAACGGTCCGTGGCCCTAGCACACTGCCAGGACAGCGTTTTAAAAGCTTCCTGCTGAGTATAGTTCTAGAAGTACCGCGTCGCAGCGTGATTACCTTAAAAACCGGTGTGTCATCAATATGTGATTGCGAACTGTATTCGGGATCACATCGCGCCGGACCACCCCACACACAACGGCGAACTGCCGCACACAACGCCGACAGAGAGACTCACTCTGCGCGCCCCGAGCAGCACGCCGCACGATCGGCGTGCGACTCGCCGGCACCACCGCGTCCCAACCCACCGTGTCTTCCTTACGTTAACACTGGCCTGGGGCGTGATCTATTGCCACATATGGTCCACCGCTACACACAGTGCTGGGGCATGATCTATTGCCACACACGGTCCACCGCTACACGAACGTTAACTATGAATAGCAATGGCGTTAGGTTTGGAGGCATGCAACTCGAAGTGTGACAATTTTATAGCGGGCCCGGCAGTTGGCGGGCGGGCACTGCGCGGCCCCCGGCACTGTCGGGTCCTCCACGACTCCGCGCAGCGACTGTTCGCCGCCTGGGTGGCGCGGCGGTGTGCTCTGACGCGCCCTCCCCTGGCAGGAACCCGGACGGCGCCGTGGAGCACGCGAAACAGGTGATCTCCGATCTGCTCTGCAACCGGATTGACATTAGTCAGCTGGTGATCAGCAAGGAGCTGACCAAGACGGACGCCGACTACAGCGCCAAGCAGGCGCACGTCCAGCTGGCGCACAAGATGCGCAAGCGCGACCCGGGCAACGCTCCCAAGCTGGGCGACCGCGTGCCGTATGTCATCATAGCCGCGCCCAAGAACACGCCCGCCTACGACAAGGCCGAGGTGAGATGCTGCTGGCGGTAGGGAGTCAGTCAGGGAGAAGGCGCTCAAAGGGAGTGGTGGGGAGTATGGGGGAAGCGGGCTAGTAGGAGAGCGGTGAGGTGGACGAGGGAAGGGGAGCGGTGGGGAGGATAATGAAAGTAGGCTGGCAGGGGAGCGGTCGGGTGGACCAGGGGAAGCAGGCTGGCAGAGGAGCGGTCGGGTGGACCAGGGGAAGCAGGCTGGCAGAGGAGCAGTTGGGTGGACCAGGGGAAGCAGGCTGGCGGGGAGCGGTCGGGTGGACCAGGGGAAGCAGGCTGGCAGAGGAGCGGTCGGGTGGACCGGGGGAAGCAGGCTGGCAGGGGAGCGGTCAGGTGGACCGGGGGAGCGAGCTGGCAGCGGAGCGGCCGGGTGGACCAGGGGAAGCAGGCTGGCGGGGAGCGGTCGGGTGGACCAGGGGAAGCAGGCTGGCAGGGGAGCGGTCGGGTGGACCGGGGGAAGCAGGCTGGCGGGGGAGCGGCCTGTGGCTGCTGTCTGGCTCAAACCGCGGCGGTCCTGCCGTTTCAGGACCCGATCTATGTGCTGGACAACAGCGTGCCGATCGACTCGCAGTACTACCTGGAGAACCAGCTGAGCAAGCCGCTGCTGCGTGTCTTCGAGCCGATCCTGGGCGAGAACAAGGCAGAGTCGATACTGCTCAGTGAGTGGTGATAGTCATGGCCTCAGCAGGGTCGATACTGCTCAGTGAGTGGTGATAGTCATGGCCTCAGCAGGGTCGATACTGCTCAGTGAGTGGTGGTAGTCATGGCCTCACCAGAGTCGATACTGCTCAGTGGGTGGTGATAGTCATGGCCTCAGCAGGGTCGATACTGCTCAGTGGAGGTCAGATGTGATAGTCATGGCCTCAGCAGGGTCGATACGCTCAGTGAGTGGTGATAGTCATGGCCTCACAGAGGTCGATACTGCTCAGTGGGTGGTGATAGTCATGGCCTCATCAGGGTCGATACTGCTCAGTGGGTGGTGATATGTCCATGGCCCTCACCAGATGTCGATACTGCTCAGTGGGTGGTGATAGGTCATGGGCCTCAGCCTGGGTCGATACTGCTCAGTGAGTGGTGATAGTCATGGACCTCAGCAGGGTCGATACTGCTCAGTGGGTGGTGATAGTCATGGCCTCACCAGAGTCGATACTGCTCAGTGAGTGGTGATAGTCATGGCCTCAGCAGGGTCGATACTGCTCAGTGAGTGGTGATAGTCACGGCCTCAGCAGGGTCGATACTGCTCAGTAGGTGGTGATAGTCATGGCCTCACCATAGTCGATACTGCTCAGTGAGTGGTGATAGTCATGGCCTCAGCAGGGTCGATACTGCTCAGTGAGTGGTGACAGTCATGGCCCCAGCAGGGTCGATGCTGCTCAGTGAGTGGTGATAGTCATGGCCTCAGCGGGGTCGATACTGCTCAGTGAGTGGTGATAGTCATGGCCTCAGCGATGATTAACAGCTAGAAGGAGCGTAATGTCTCCGGGTGGCACCAAATGAACTGGTTGAAATACTGACATGACAGAATATTGATATTGTTTGCCATATTGTATTGTCCGTTTGTGACGGCGAGCCGTGGCGGTACCATTTGTATTGACTAGCTTACCAGCTCGTCATGTATATAATGATAATGCGCGTCATGTGCATATCATTATCACCATGTGTTGCCGGCAATGCCGAAGAGACAGCCACATCAAGGGGCCTGCCTACGGGGCCGCCTGGGGTTGGTGTTCACGGTGAAAAGACTTCTCCCAGTCGTCTCAAATTACTGGCTGATGTCAACGTGTGGAGATTATAAGTATCATTTGATCGTATTGAATAGTTCGCAGGGAATAGTGTACTGCAGTAGGGTACCGATTGTAGTGAATAGTGTAATGCATATGTTTCGCCACTTTGGCACTGCCAAAATCTATAGTTATCGGTGAATGAACCATGACTGATGTCTTCGCTTTTCACACTTACTAGTTTGTCGCGCATTCCTCGTACATAGGCTCGTCTTACCACATCCACTATCATTTAGTTAAGATCATTTATATCCAGCGATGTTGTCGTTGATGATCAGCGTCGATGATGAGTTTCCTTCAACACTGGTCGTTCCTTTGCCTCCCGTTTGTATTTCGGGCCTGTGTGATCTAAATATATATTCGGGCATTCACCAGCCTCACGCCATTTTGTTCGTGTTCAGGACTGGTCCGACCGAACATGGGTGCGGGCGCTGCATGCCCCCACCCGTCTTCGCCGCGTCTCGAATTTACCCGCTCCTGCTTGCAGAGGGCGAGCACACCCGAACTAAGAAGGTGGTGACCTCCAAGGTGGGCAAGCTATTTGCCTTTACCAAGAAGTCGGCGCAGTGCCTGAGCTGCAAGGCAGTGTTGAAAGACGAGTCGCAGGCGGTGTGCGAGTACTGCAAGGTACGGAACCACCGGCGCGGAAGCACCTTGGTGGTGCAACCGGTTCGGTGCTGTGTTTGTCTTTACTGGCAGGAGGTATTAGTATTGGATTCTGCTGATCTGTATGGTCATCACGTCATTTCTGTGGGGTTACCCCGGGCCCACCCACAGGATGGGAGGTGACGTGTCCATTGGTGTAGGTATGCCCTTCTCTCAGTCGAAGGGGGGTGACGTCTGTCGTTTACAGGCACAGTTACGTCTGTCTGTGGGTGTAACAGTGCCTTGACCCCACTTTGTTTGCAACTGTATTGAAAATGGAGTCGAAAGAAGGAAGGTGACTTGATCCCCTGCCTGTGGGTGTAACTGCTATAACCTGTCATCAGCCAGAGGAGGCGGGATGACGTCACGCGTCACCGGGCGCCTGTATTTGTGCCCTGTCTGCAGCCAAAGAAGGGAAGGGGGACGGGCCTGGCGTGTCTGCGGGTGTGCTTGTAATGTCCCAGCGGAAGGGGAAGACGTGTTGCGTGTAGCTGCACCCCGTCGGCAGCCGAAGGAGGCGGAGGTGTACCAGCGAGAGATGACAGCGCTCTCCGCGCTGGAGACCAAGTTCGGGCGGCTGTGGACGCAATGTCAGCGGTGCCAGGGCAGCCTCCACGAGGAGGTCATCTGTACCAGGTGGGGCCGACAGCACTCGTGTATTTGTCATTTGTGCACGCTCGCACAGATGAAAAAGAGGCGGCGAAATTATGCGCCATGCATTCAAGATGCTAGTTTCCAAAAGCGACAGCTTTGGCACGCTTCCAGAGGCCACGTTTGCAATAGCGGTGAATATGCAGTGATACCCATAGATGATCGTAGGCCTGCCGTGAAGTCCACTGTGCTTTGCATTTTTGTGCATTTGCTTTAAATGTATTTGCATAAATGCATGCCTGACGCAAATACTCTGGAGATTCTGGGAATGTTTTAAGCCGGCCTCACGTATCTGACCTTTGTCGAGCCGACGGCGGCCGCGCTCAGTACCCAGATCGGAGTGGTGGGAGGCGCTCCTGTCACCATGCGTTCTCCATGCGAAGAGAAGCGGCAAATTTAGGAATAAAAAGACTGAAATATAGAACCGCACTTCGGAATGCATGATCGCGGCCAGATCTGCGGAATCACTTTCGCTGCAAAACAAATAGTCTGTTATGGCCAACAGGTCGCTCGGTTAGCATCCTTTAAACTTGAAAATATCGAATGGATTACCAGGTCCGAGCCATTAGGATTTTATTTGCATGTATTGCAGGTTCAGTTCTTAGCACATGTTTTCTGGAAACGCTAAATCTCTGCCTCATTCCTGGTCGTGGCGTGTGGCTGCAGTGTGTGGATGTGGCTGGCGTGTGGCTGCAGTGTGGCTGTGGCGTGTGGCTGCAGCGTGTGGCTGTGACCGCGTGTGTGACTGTGGCTGCAGTGTGACTGCAATGTGGCTGCAGTGTGGGGCTGTGGCTGCAGTGTGGGGCTGTGGCTGCAGTTTGTGACTGTGGCTGCAGTGTGGGGCTGTGGCTGCAGTGTGTGACTGTGGCTGGCGTGTGGCTGCAGTGCGTGGCTGTGGCTGTAGTGTGTGGCTGTGACCGCAGTGTGTGACTGTGGCTGCAGTGTGACTGCAATGTGGCTGCAGTGTGGGGCTGTGGCTACAGTGTGTGACTGTGGCTGCAGTGTGTGACTGTGGCTACAGTGTGACTGCAATGTGGCTGCAGTGTGGGGCTGTGGCTACAGTGTGTGACTGTGGCTGCAGTGTGTGACTGTGGCTGCAGTGTGACTGCAATGTGGCTGCAGTGTGGGGCTGTGGCTGCAGTGTGTGACTGCGGCTGCAGTGTGACTGCAATGTGGCTGCAGTGTGTGACTGTGGCTGCAGTGTGACTGCAGTGTGGCTGCAGTGTGGGGCTGTGGCTACAGTGTGACTGCAGTGTGGGGCTGTGGCTACAGTGTGTGACTGTGGCTACAGTGTGACTGCAATGTGGCTGCAGTGTGGGGCTGTGGCTGCAGTGTGTGACTGCGGCTGCAGTGTGACTGCAATGTGGCTGCAGTGTGTGACTGTGGCTGCAGTGTGACTGCAGTGTGGCTGCAGTGTGGGGCTGTGGCTACAGTGTGACTGCAGTGTGGGGCTGTGGCTACAGTGTGGCCGCAGTGTGGGACTGTGGCTGCAGTGAGTGACTATAGCTGCAGTGTGACTGCAGTGTGGGGCTGTGGCTGCAGTGTGTGACTGTGGCTGCAGTGCGTGGCTGTGGCTGGCGCGTGGCTGCAGTGTAGCGGCTTCCGCTGCGGCGCAGTGTTTCGTTCATGATCAGTGCGTTACCCGGAGTTATGGAGACCAGGTGTAATTTTCACTTGCTTATTTTTGCCCTTCCCATATTTTGGCCTGAACGTCGCGTGAGCGGCATGTCCCTCTGTTATCAGGTATGAAGTATTTGTACAGATGCATATTAAGCACACAGACGTTATTTTATCAAATCGCTGACGTGTTTTCTTCAGGTGTGCAATCTGTGCATGGTGAGCCTAGAACAAAACCGCGGGCAATGACAGGCGTTAAGTTCATTGAGGCTCCAAAACGTTTGAGCTATCTACCGCTGCTGGTTGCTGCTGGCTTCATATTCATAAAGCTTCGGAGAGGGTCGTGTGATTTTTGGTCTTTTTCGCACGTTCTGCCATTACCTTACGTCTTAAAACCTTCCCTAGAACTTTGTCACTTTGAACTTCGTGTGTTTTTTAGAAGTCATTTTGGATATGACGGGCTTACGGTTTTCGCGTAATTGTTCGCATTCGACGCAACGAATGTCATGGATGAATTCACGAGCATTATGCATCTAGCATGGCGTTGAGAATGTGCGAGCAATATGCGCGTAGAATGGTGCCTGTACATCGCGTGTATGGATGGGATGGCAGTTATTGCTCGTCTGGTTACGCCTGTGGTGTTACCGTGCCCCGTTCTGGCATGAAGATAATGCTGGTTTTGGTTTTACGAAAATCGCTTTCATTTGGTCGATCTTATGTTCCTCAGACATCATCTAGCGCTACTAACACACGTCTAACTGTGTCTATCTCGTGGTATGATAGCCTCTGCTTTGAGTACACATCTACCTGCAGGCAGTGGTGATGGCTCCTGAGAGCTGGGTTATGGTACGTCGTAACTCACCCCTTGTACGCCGCTCTGTGGCCCTGGAGCATGTCTCCTATGTGCTACGAACTAAGGCGATCCGTTCGTTGCCAGCCGCGACTGTGCGATCTTCTACATGCGGAAGAAGGTGCAGAAGGACCTGTCGGAGCAGGAGAAGCGCATGGAGCGGTTCGGGGTCCCGTCATGGTGAGCCGGCCCCAGCGCCGCTCCGAGGCCATGTGCTGTGATGAGCACCCGCAGCTCGGCGGCTCGACCCTGACTCGCGCCACCGGCCGTGGTGTGTCCGCGCTCCTCGCTGTCCGTGTGCGGGGCGGGAGCGCCCGGTCCTGTCATCAGCCGCCTGACTCGCGCCGCTGGCCGTGGTGTGTCCGCGCTCCTCGCTGTCCGTGTGCGGGGCAGGAGCGCCCGGTCGTGCCGCGCGCCTCCCAGAGTTGTGCCGGTTATGTTCTGCAGCGTCCGGTCACAGGCTGACAGGGGGACCGTCCCTCCTACTGTGACCTCGTGACCCAGTGGTCACGGCAGCCATGTGTGCCACGACCGTCCCGAGCGCAGCCGACTCGACAGCCGGCCGCACTGTATGTGTGTGTGTGTGGTGCTCGGCTTCCTGGTGAGCTGAGTCGGTGCCTTTGTACAATATACGTCGCTTAGACGCTGTTTTGGTCCGGGCCGTTTAAGTTCCACAATCATGTCCAGGGGCGGCCAAGTATGGCAGCCGATTCCAGAATGTTTTGGCTCTGAACTGGCTCCAGGAAGGCTTGGTTTATTTTTTGTGGACTGTGATTCCAGCCGGAGTCTAGCATAAGTTTACGATCAGGTCTCATTGCTGGCTGCTGAACGATATGAGTCGGCACTTCATATGTGATACAAACATACGGGATAGGATCACTGTACTGGAAGTGGTCACGCAAGCTTCGCGCATGACGCAGGCAGTTTCGCGCCCGTGCGTTGAAAATCTGTGGTCGGGTCCAACTGCATGACGTGTTTAGCGGCGATCGGTATGTTTATGATGACGATTGCCTATCTGCAACCACGCAATATTGCAGTAAAACCGGCTCGATGTGCGCGAGGCTGGAGATGGCGGATGGGGGGGGGGGGGAGAGCTCGTAACCCTCGTCATTGAAATGGGAGCATTGCGCTCGTGCTGTTCACCCAAAATTTGTAACCAAAAAGGTGTTGGGGGGGGGGGGGGGCGCTGATGCGTGCATCTCTAGCGATGCATGAAAATTGACACGGACAGTTAATTCCTAGCACCTATATAGCGTACGGCCTAAACGCCGCTGAGGCGTGGCCTTGGGTGCTGAAACCTGCAGTAATGTGTAATCCCATGGTCACCAATGCCTCTCTTCACTAGTGACCTCTTCCTCGATTGGTCAGAGCTCGTGTCGGAAGATCGACAGGCTCCGTTTTGAGTAGGCTCTGTGGCGTCGCGGTATGATGACGGGTCTTGTTGCCTGCCAATATGCATGCTCCAGTGCCCGGTCTCGTGCTGTGCCTGTCGGGCCCGGTACCATGCGGCCAGTGCTGCCCACGCTATCCGGGATCAGGCTGGAGCCGCCTCGGCCGACCACAGGACGACGGGAGGGGCGGCTACACTGATTACTTTGTAACGGCTGTTTGGCGGACTGATTACGTCTGATGGACAGCCCGGCCTCAAACTTCCCAGCCGGCCGGCGTCCCTCGGGGATGCGGCCAGACGCGGCCTCCGCTCCGGACAGACGTGGCCGCCGCTCCCCGCCGCTCCGGGAATCGGCGGCCCTGCAGATGACGCTGCGCAGTTGCGGCACTCGGTGGCGCGTGGTGAGGTGCAGTGATCCCCTTCCCCGGATGTGGAGAAGGACATGTCGGTGTTTTTGGACCAGTAAGGGACATTACATCCCCGCCTCAAATTCCTCCCCCTCCCCTCACAAAATGAGTTGAAGTATCGCCTTCACGCGATGAACAGCCGCAGGTCGTTCCCTGCTGTCACCCATCTCCGATGAGTGGCGCTCAGCGTCGCGTCCCGGTCCACCAGCCGTGCGCGTGAGCCGTACGGCGTCCTCTGCAGGCTCGTGTTCAGCCTGCATCTCGGTGCCAGTGCGCGAGGGGGGATTTAGTGGCACATACCCAGCATGTGCCGATGATAAGAAGGGTATTTGCAAGACGTGGTGTTTCTGGGAATCGCTGCATGCATGTGGCATGTTGCTTTGATTACACGTGTGTTTTCAGCCTGTTATCAGCTAAGCTGACACTGTACAGTTCCAGCATTTGGAATGGCCGTTATTTTCGAGGAACTCTTATGGCGTGATCGCGTCACGATGGGCTCGGATATTTGCCGTTTCCCGATAGCTTCATGGGCTGTGTAACGTGCCTGATAAGTCGGTGGAGGCCATCTCGTGCCTTACGAAGGCTCTGGCACGCCTCTGACGTCACCGTGCCAGCTGTGAGCGCCTTGTGCTTTCCGCCCCCGCCCAGCTTGTTCGCAAGCCGCATTTTTATGTGGGGTCGGATGTATTACGAGTGAGGTTCTGTCCGACCTTGTGTGCTTTCCTGAGGCTTTTTAACCCTGAATTCGTTCAGTGATTAAATTCTTTGAAACTGTAGAATTTTTCCTGGTTCATTTCTCATGTGCTTATCAGGAGCAGCCGAGGGATAAAATAAGTTAACTCTTGAGAGTTCTTGAACTTGAGAGAGAGCTCGGATCGTGGGGACCACAGAGGCGCGCGTATTCCGAGCAGTTGTAACCAATGTTCACTACATAAGCTGTAGTGTTTTCGAAACGCTTTGTTTACTGTCGCCGAGCGCATCAATCATGTCATCTTGATTGTTTTCGTGGAATAAAATTGACGGTTTTTTACAGTTTGTGAGCTCATGATTTTTCAGGAATGTCACCGGTATATTAGCGCTCGAACGCTTTTTATCAGCGATCTTCTGTGACGCCCCAACCCATTTGTATGAGGTCTCCAGGACAACTGGGTCCACTCGCTTATGTTTATTTCTTGATGATGCTACTGTTACCGTTTACGTGTCGCTCGTCCCAGTTCGCGAAACGCGTCTTGTCAAACGTTATGATTCACTTGCTGTCATGGCATGGCGATAACGGACGACAAGCATTTGAGCTCGTCGCCGTTTTTTACACGTTGTAGGTCCCGCTCTATCAGTGCTCCAGGGCCTCTTTGGAGCGAGCAGTGTCGTGCACTCCGCTGTGTTCAGCGGAGGTGAGCGTGCGCGAGTGTGCGGCCGTGGACCCCGCTGTGTTCAGCGGAGGTGAGCGTGCGCGAGTGTGCGGCTGTGGACTCCGCTGTGCTCAGCGGAGGTAAGCGTGCGCGAGTGTGCGGCCGTGGACGCCGCTGTGTTCAGCGGAGGCGAGTGTGCGGCCGTGCACTCCGCTGTGTTCAGCGGAGGTGAGCGTGCGCGAGTGTGCGGCCGTGGGCGGGAGGCCCGGCGCCGCCGGCCGCCCAACATCCGTGACGGCCGACGGGCGGGTACGGGTATGGCACGGGCCGGCCGCCGCCCGCCGATAGCCCATCTCACGCGCCTGCTGCCGATGCAAATCGCCGACCGAGGGGCGCCGCCGCATGGCGCGTGTTGGGCCGCTCGACTGGCGCCGATCTCGAGCCCAGCTGTGCCGCACCCGCCGGCACCCCCTCCGCCTCCAAAATCGCTCCCCCCTTCCCCTCCAACCCTCCCCCGAAGTCAGTACCTCGACACAGACCGCCGCGACCAATGCTTTATTGCTGCACGTCCGCACACGCGCGCCAAGTTCGGACACCACACGCGCAGCCCGCTCAGCTGCGGGCGGGCGGCGCCTGCGACGGTCCGACCTCCAGGCCCCGCTTTGTACTCTGACGTGGCCGCCGGTGCGGTACCGCCGCCTGCCCGGCTCCGGGGAGACCCACCATCACCGGGCGCCGGCCCGACCCGACCCGGCCTGACCCGTCCGAGGCTACCCGCCGCTGGAATGAGCACGCCATTGGCAGTTGGGTTATTGTTAAGTCGCGGAATTTGTATCACATGCAGTGGCGAACGTACGTCGACAAACAGCTTGGTCAGGTGAGGTGAGAGGTGCAAGCCCCTCGTCTGCGGCCGCCTCTGTTGCAGTCGGATCACTCCTGCTCAAACTCTGCCTGCGCTGTGGGAATTTGTAGCCGCCGCTCTGGCGGCAGGTGGCCGGCCAGCGGAGGTTGCACGCGCGGCACGGGGCGCCGGCGGCGGGGCCGGCAGGTCACGGCCGCTCTCGGACGCACCTCTGGACGGAAAGCGACGCGAGATCAGACCGTCGCACTCTCTCATGCCGACGGACAGTCGCGCCTGCCCGATCCTTCTCACTTCTCAGACAGCCGCAAACGCGCACCAGCCCCGAAAGCTTGGGAGGCGGGCGGAAACGGACTTCCATCCGTATTTTTCCATGCAACGCCACAGGGCTGATACATTTTCAAAAGTATACCCGCTCTCCTGTGGTCCCTTCGTCGCTGGGAAGCCGTGACCGTCCGACCACGTGCAGGGCGGCCGCCATTGACCGACAGTGCGCACACGACAGCTCACCGCGATCCCATACTCGTCATGCGTTGGCCGTCCGTGGCCGTCATCCTGGACACGAAGGCACAGCTGGGCATCGCCATCGCAGCCGCGCAGCATCCCCGCTGCCCGCACACAAATGCCCCCATAGCTGTCAACTGCAGCCGGTCGAAGCCACCTTTCCAGAGCCGGACAGCGTTCCCCGGCCAGAGCGCAGCCCGCACGGCACGGACCAGCTGCTGGTGCCGCTTGCGGATGCCATCCTGCAGCACGTTTTCGATGCCCTACGTTGGCGTTGAGGCGGACAATTTCTACAATCACCTGCAAACTCCCGAATAGTAGCTCATCTTGATGCGTAAAAGCTATGCTCTTGACAGCACCTTGTCACATAAACACCTTTTTATGTCGGGTTAGCAGCGCTCTCTCAGACTCAACGTCGGGTAAAATATACGCCAACCCATAACGCGCATGTGAATTACCGTCTCGAGCAAAACGGCTTCCGTTTTCTCGCATTTCGCACTAAGCGCAGCCTCAGTTTGGCGTCGGCTGTCGGCCGCGGGCGACGCCAGCGCCTCTAGCGGCCGTGCCGCAGTTACGACCGCGACTGCAGCATCATAGAGTTGAAGTTCGAGTTGAACTTGAAGTGGCGCTTGTCGTAGAACTTGAGCAGCGCCGGGCTGTTGGGGTGTCGCTCCTTCAGGTGGAAGTAGTGCGCCTCGGGCTCGATGGATGTGGTGCCGCACTCCTCGCACACGTACATCTTGTTGCGCCGCTCCTTGTAGTTGTACTGGTGTTGCACGCCGTGCACCTTCAGGCAGTGCGACTCCAGAGAGCAGCGCTGCGTGAACGACTTCTCGCAGAGCATGCAGCGGTAGGGCCGGACGCCTGCGGGCAGGACGGGGCGCTCGGTCAAGGTCAGACGCGACAAACCCCGCCACTCGTCGGGGAACAGTGGACAGTTGGGGACGGACCGAGCGTGACCCAGCGTCAGCAGCAGCTGGACCAAAGCTTCCCCACCGTCTCGCTGTCCTGGACCCACTGGACCCACCGTCTCGCTGTCCTGGATCCAGGTCCACTGACCAGGTCCACCCTGACAGCTCAGTGAGGGGAGGATCGACTCAAGAGAGGTGACGGCCCCCGGCGCCGGCACGTACCCGTGTGGGTGCGCGTGTGTCGCTTCAGGTCGAACGTGTCGTTGAAGCCCTTGCAGCAGAAGGTGCAGAGGTAGCGCTTGACGTCCGAGTGGCACTTCATGTGCCGGTTCAGCAGTCGCAGCAGGTTGAACTTCTTGGAGCAGAGCCGGCACATGTACGTCTTGGGGTCCTCCTCGCAGACTGCAGCGGGGGGGGGGGGGGGCACAGGTGAGCTGAGGATGGGCAGCACGCGTGCGCCTCCAAACCGCACGGGCCAGCAGTATGGGTTCTGATTACAGGCCGCGCTATAACACAAGACGGGATTCCACGCACGAAAGGAAAAGGATAGCGGGACCATAATGATTACACGGTGCACTCACCGAAAACGACTCTGTGAAACGCAGCTATCTGGGCGCCGGAAATGGAAATGGCCGAGTCGTGCGAGCGGTGTGCCAATTAATGGGGATCTCGCACGCCACGCGAGTGTATCGCCACACAACATGGAAAGCAGCAGTGCGTAACCATGCAAACGATTCGCTCCAGAACGAAATGAGAAGAAGTCATTTCACGGAGCCATCAGAGACGCTGATTTGGTACTACAGCCTGCTTGCTGTGCCGGCAGCTGGCTGGCCCGGGATGCGGCACGAGCCAGGTGCGGTGCCAGGCCGTTATCGGCGGCGGCTCGTGGCCGGCCGACCAGTGTAGCCACGGGAGCGGTCCGGAAGCGGCCGCCCGTCTGGGTCCCCAGCGGCCGTTCACCTGCCCGCCGTCATAGCATCTGTTCGCCGGCACATGCTGTAAAACTCACTGATGGGCGGCAGTTTTTCCACTTCGAGGGCACGCTCGCTGGCGTGCGGGTTCTTTATGCCGTGGCCGCCGTTCACGAACTCGAAGGCGTGCGTCTCGGGGAGACCAAGCTGCGGACAGGAGGAAATTTTTGGCTCCTGATTCAAATACATTAAAAGAATACAATACTATCCTCGTAAATGTGGTAAGCATGTGTAATATCCGTGCTGCAACTCTCGTCGGGCCGTGTGGTGATCAGAGCAGATGCCGTCCCGCCCAGATGCCCCCCTGCGTGATGGCGTGACCCGGGGCTCCGTAAGCCGGCAGCGGCGCCAGGCTCCGTAAGCCGGCGGCGGCGCCGGGATCCGTAAGCCGGTGGCGGCGCCGGAATCCGTAAGCCGGCAGCGGCGCCAGGATCCGTAAGCCGGCGGCGGCGCCGGGATCCGTAAGCCGGCGGCGGCGCCGGGATCCGTGAGCCGGCGGCGGCGCCGGGCGGCCGTGAGGCTGCCGTGGCGGCGATCACAGGGCCGCGCGCCGCCGCCTTCCGGTCCCACACTCTGACAGCGCGGCGGCCGCCGCCGGTCTCGGCGTAATGGCTGCGCTGACACGGCCGTCAGCCGCGCACAAGGTCGGCGCCCCTCGGCGGCCGACCGGCGGTCGCTGTAACGGCGTCGCGGGGCCGCCGGACTCGGCCGGCGCCTCATGGCCGGGTGGCGCGACCCGCCCCGAGCCAGTCAGCCCCGGCCGTCATCACTGCACCCGGCGTCAGTCGTGGAGCGCGCCAAACAAGCCTCGAACTCGTGACACGAAACCAGGGCATAACCTCCTCATAGCCTCCTCATAACCTCTTCATAACCCCCTCATAACCCCCTCATAACCTCCTCATAACCCCCTCATAACCTCCTCATAGCCTCTTCATAACCCCCTCATAACCTCCTCATAACATCATAGCCTCCTCATAACCTCCTCATAACCTCTCAGCAAGCTGTTAGTGAGCACGGCTTAAACATTGGGCCGATGAGAAAGTTCCGCTAGCAGATCGGAGGGTTACGCAGATGTGTTTTCTTACATGAATGCTCTCTTTCAGGTATCTAATGTCTGCAAGTTGTTCTGGATGCGTTGTTGGGCCCTTGGCAATTGTGTCATCCAAAATGGCCGAAGAAAGACACGCCCCTGAAGTTGTTTTGTCAGCAACAGACCGTGACGTGGCGGTACTCCACTGGAAACAGTCTGAACCATTGTGCCTCGGCGCTAACCCGATAGCGTTGTGTGTCAAGACAATGCACTCAGCAACATCATTGTTTTTCGCTTAGTGCTTAGTAGTACGGTGTCGAAACGGTGGAGAGCAGATACCAAAACCCACACAACTATTATTGTAACTTTATTCCTCTCACCACCGTCTAATTTGGTACCAAATTGGTACCAAATGCCAGTTTTGCTCAAACTGAGACTGATTTGTACAATGCCGTACAATCTCTAGATGCCCGCTGAGTCGCCCCTTTTGCGTTGTACCTTCATGATGAGAATATAAATTTGTTCCTATATGTCTGTGGCAAAGCACACACTTTCAACCGTAGCCGCATTAAAAGCCTTCGGCGACTGTCAAAATTTGACACCGACGTTCCAACTTTTATCGAAGGCAAACCAATGTTGAGTCCGTATGGTAACCAGTATGCACATGTCGCCACCACACGGCACATCCGAATCTCGGCTGCCGCGCCGAGGCGTCTCAATGCACCACTAAATCTCGATTACCGTCAGTGATAATCCGTTTTCAACGGCAAAACGGAGAGTGGCCCCCAATGGACCGTTACGATTGAAAGCTTCATGCAACGCTGCAGACAGTTGCAAAATCGGCAATTATTTGAACTGGTCGGGCGTGCAGTGCCGTGTTATTGCCATGAATCAACAGATTACATCACAGGCGCTACAGACGTCCTGTTCGGCGCGCCCGAAGCAGCTGCGTCCGGGATCGGCCATCACTGGGGTCTCGTGATGACCGATGCTGGCTGAGGTAAAGCCACGGTGTGAGCTGGATTGAAATCGACCGTTCCGCAGTATAACACAAGGCAGTTTTCGATGGGATCGATGCTTCAGGTCCCCATCCGCTTTCATACCGTGGAAGTCCTGAGGGCACCACTACGTCGGTAGGCAATCACCTTCACTCCACCTCCCAGACCTTCGGCCGACCCCGACCCGACCCGACCCGACCCGACCCGACCCGACCCGACCCGACCCTCGCCCCCTCGCCTCCCACTCACCCGCTGGTGGAGCTGACCGACGCGCACGTCCAGACTGACCGAGCCGTCGGCGCCGGCGTCGCCGCCGACGGAGCGCGGCGAGCGGGGTGAGCTGCGGCCGGCGCGGATCGGCCCGGGCGAGCGGCACGCTGGCCCCGTCGACGACTCGGGCTGCTGTGCCGGCTGCGCGGCCGGCGGCGGCGGCGGCGGCAGTCCCGAGTGCAGACCCGTCACCACGAACTTGCCATCGTAGAGCGCGTCGGCCAGGCATGAGGAGACGACCGGCTCGGAGAGAGCCGGGAGCGAAGCCGAGTCGCCTAGCGCCTCGACCACCGTCTGGTGTGACAGCTCGGCAGCCGTGCCGGTCGGCTGAAGCAGCTGCTCCAGCCCGAACAGGTCGTGGCTGCCGTCCGCCAGCTGGGGCCGCCGACACTGCCGGCTTTCGAATCACCGAACAGCTCGGCCTCAATCTCGTACGGGTCGCAGAAGCCGAGCGGGTCGGCGTTGAAGGCGTAAGGCATGGGTGCGAGCCGCGCGCCGGCGCCGCCGGCCGCGTGCGCCGGCCATGGCTGCGCTGGCGGCGGCTGCGGCGGCGGCTTGCAGCCCTCCACCTGCTGGTCGATGTAGCTCCCCAGGAAGTTGTCCACACCGACTTGCTGCTGCGGCGGAAAGTGGCGTGGCGAGTAGCGGCCGCGCTCGCCGCCGCCTCCCGGGTGCGGCGCCTTGCAGCCCATCAGGCCGAAGCCGAAGCCGTTGGCGCCGGGCCCGAAGAGGCCGCCGAAGCCGGGCGGCCCGAAGCCGGCGCCGCCGGGCTGCCCGCCTGGTCCGCGGCCACCGCCGCCGGTGCCTCCGCCAGCGCGGTACGGCGAGCCTGGTGTCGGCGACAACGGGTTGGCGCCCGAGCCGAGCGGCGTCTGCACGGGCGCCAGGCCGGCGCGCGGCACGCGCAGGTCGACGCAGCGTGCCGGCGATGGTCCGCTCAGCTGGAGCCGGCCCCCAGGCAACAGGTTGCGCCTGTAGAAGGGTCGCTTTTTCGGTAAGGTTGGCGTGTGCGTGATCACCGAGAGCCGCGCGCGCGCCGGCGCCGCCAGCGACGGGAAGCAGCTGAGCGGGTGGGCGCCGAACGAGAGGTCGATAGGGTCGTCGCTGGGTGGCGCGGCCGACGCCGGGGGCGGCTCGGCCGACTCGGCCGACTGCCGCGCCGCCGCCGACTCGCAGCGCGACTCGTCCTCGTCGGTGACCGGCTCGTCGGCCTCGTCGTCGACCCGGGCGTCCTGCAGGCGGCGGCTGACGGCCTCGACGCCCTCCGTCTGTTGGCGCCACTGCAGCACGGCGCCGGGTCGCGTCCAGTCGAGCGCCTCGGCCCAGTCGAACGCCGACGAGGCGGACACAACCGGGCGCAGTTCGCCTGAAACACGCGCCGCGTCAGTACCGGCGGCGCCACGCCTTCCCCATCTGTTGACCCGACCGCTGCAAGCCGAAGTGTGGTCACAGCAAACCACTCCAACTGGGGCGACATTTGTGAAACGTTGTGCTCGATGCATGCTCCGTTCGAGCAGGATGTAAATACGATGATGATGGCGACCGAGGATGTACCCGTCACCAGGTGATATTATTTTGTTTCCAGGACCATGGTGCCATTTTCAGAGATGCTGAAAGCCCACGTAAAATTGAGGTCATGATAGGGATCAGGGATGTTGTCTCTTTTCGACAATAATTGAACGTGATACGCAAAAACGTCCATGACAATTTTAACAGGCGGATGTCAAAAGAGTATTGTTGTTTGTGGCAGTGTGACGTTACAACAATTCAGAGAGCCGATGAAAACGATATCATCTGGACGCTTTGTACACATTGTAGGGTTTGTCGGCGAGGAAGGCTCATCCTGCATTATGGGAGTGTGAAGTATAGTGCTGTGTGGTGCTATGGGCTAAACTTTCACCACGCGGGTATTGGCTACAGGAGATTCTGCAGGTAGGCGGCGCGTATTGAAAGGGCTGCGATTTCACTTGTAAACATCACATATCTTATTTCCTACGGGGCGCACGCTGTCGGTTGGGTATTTGAGCATTGTATTATAGTATTATTTATTTATGCTCATATTATTTAGGCTCTGCGGCGATCGACTACACGGTCATACAGCGCCCATCGGCGCACACAATCAAAAAGGCTATGACAGGCATGGCTTTGACGGCGACACCCGTCTTTAGCACACTTGTCTGCCTTTTCTGCTTGATGGCAACTGAACGTAACGCATCCCGAAGTTTCCACGCGCCCGGGTGGCTGCTTGAATTGCCCTTTGCTCGGGTGGTGGTCAACTTGACCCCTGTGATCTCGAAAAGGAAAAACGCTAGATGCACCAAATCCACAGGGTGGGATGGCCTGCATGTGAACTCACTTGTCAAAATTTGATGTTTCTAAAACATGACCCTGGGATCGAGTGAGGTCAAACAAGGTCAGCCCATGTTTGGTGTCCGAAGTACCCCCAGACCTTTTCATGTAACCGCTTTGGACGCAGATAGCTGTTCTTATCAAAATGTCGCTGGTTTTCCTTTAAGGTTAGTGATCTTTTATCTTTAGAAGGTCAAGATGATAAAAAGCCTATGAAACTGCATCTATTTTATCTGAATAAGCGTTAAGGACCACGCCAGGCGGTATATTCTTTCAAACAAAATGTTGAACAGGGTCATTTTAGGCCAGTGGCCTACTCGGACCTTCAAGAAGCTTATGGAATATGTCTGTTACGGCCCTTTTCTATACATTCGAAATAGGCACTAGAATCTACCAAACGAAGAAAGCTCCCACGTAAAAAGTAGGTTTTGACCTCAGTTTAACCTATACACCTGACTCTAGGTCAATGGAATTTGCCACAATTCTAGATTAAATTGCTTCATTGCCAAAGAACCTATCTCAGAGATGCATGACTTTGTCGAAAACCCCGTTGTTGCATTAGATTGAACGATTCCTTAGTAATGGCTTTCGCTGACAGCCACGACCTGACTTTGACCTGCCATAGGTTAGCAATCTCACAAAGTATGCCTGCTTTTTATACCAAACGATCCGCTGTTCGATTGCTTACGGCTATGCAGAGTTTGGCGCGACTACGCCGCGCCGTTTGGAAATCATTCTGAAAAAAACTTGGGGGGGTGGGTCAAATTGGGACGACGAGGTGACAACCTGAAGCAGCCTGAGACTTTAAAACAGCGAAACATTTTACCCCGTGTGCTTGACGCCTCCACTTCCCCTTCCCTCCGCACACTTGACCTCCGCCTACCTCGCCCGCCGTGTGCGGTTCTGTGTAGCGAGCCTGGAGCGCGCGCCGGCCGGGATCCTTGGAAGTGTTCCCGGCGAGGAAGCGCGCTGACTCAGCGGCTGTGCGTGAGTTGGAGCTGCGGGCGGCCGGTGCCCGCGGCCGCGGCCGGCACACGGCGCCGACCCTGGCCTATATAGCGGGACGCACGCACACGCACGGGCGCAGCGGCCGTGACCCAGCGGCCCGGACCGGCCCGCGCCACGTTTGGCCGCCACATCGTCCACGAGCCGGTGGCAGCGTTTGGGCGGCGCCGCGGGCCGCCGAGCTGGGGACGCTCGCTGGCGCGGCGACGGGCTACTGACCGCAGGTCAGCAGCGTCATTGATTTACCAGGATACTACCCTTCGCCGGGGCTGTTTTGCTCCCGGCCGGTTATTTATAGCGCTTGCCTCGATGTATGGAGAGTGCTATAAATAGCCGGCACTGGAGAGGGGGAGGGTTACGCACGAGCAGCTGTGCGCCAGTACGGAGCCGGCCGCGGCGGGGGGCCTGGGGAAAACTGGCCCGCAACGCGCCGATTCCTGGAAGCCAGGGTTAGTCGGGGTCGGTCAGGTCGCTGCTTCCTGGGCTTATTGGTCAGCGGCCAGAAACAGAGTGACGTTGCTGAAAGAGTGCTGCCGGTGTTTCCCCCCGTGTCACGGGTGCCCTGGTGATGTCACATCTCCTAGCGCATCGAGTGACCTAACTACTTGAATGCATGCGGATGCACGGTTGTCGAGCGGCGGACACCAAACCTTTCTCCGCCGTCCGTGTGGACGGGATAACGCGCCCACGGGCCGGGCCGGTTCGGTCTGGGCCTGGCTCCGGCAGGAGACGGCGCCGGAGTCGGCGGCGCGGGTGAGCCGGGTGGTCGACTCGACCGGCCCTTCCCACCGCGTCGTGACCGCCCGCAGCCGTCTCGGCGCGGCCGTCGCCAGTCACCCGCGGCCGGTGTAAGCCGGTCCCGGCGGCGTTCGCGGCGCGGCGCGGCGGGAGGGCACCGGCCGGCCGCAGCCGAGCAGCCCGAGGCGGTCGGCAGCCTCGCGCACCACCGCCGCTCAGCGTCGGGAGAGAGGGGCGGCGCGGTCCGCGAAAGGGAAAGCGGGCCTTGCGAACGGCGGGAGGTTGAGGTGAAGGCCGCCAGACGGGTTTCCGAGATCAGGCGGGCTTGGTAACGAGAACTGTGACGAAATCAGTCATCAGATAACAGAACACTCTAAGGGCAGATCCCGGGGGTAGCCCGACTTCAAGCACTCGCACTCACGGCGCCGAGAAGCGGCGATCGAGTTGCTGTGTAGGACGTCATGCAGACGATTTGTTTACTTCAAGCCCAAGCAACGAAAATAACGACAAGTGGACGGCTTCAAATACCGCGTAATTCGCCACAAGCTCTGTCTCAGACCCTCATACAGCATGCTCTCATAAACAGAGGTACAGCACGGCTGACCTGCGATCCATTCTGAGCAGAAGCTACCAACTCCTGCCTTCGGAGTCAGACAATGATAAGTCCCGTCCACGGGTGGCGCGGGTCCGTGTGACTACGCCGGCTCACTAGGGCCTGCTACGACAACGTGGCTGTGACCGTCACCGTCCAGTGCGCTGGAGGCCAACGAGTCCTATGTAACAGACGTAGATCGCATTCCGAATCGGATACCGACAGCAACACGGCCAGCACTGAACCTCCATCAGCCAGTCACAAAAGGTCTGGGGGCAGAGCCACTCTGGAGACCAAACGGAGAGCATGCTGCCAACAGGGTACTTCTCAGTAATCAGGCCATCCTCTTTACTTCCGCCAGTCTCCAGGCGGCGCCAAGATTTGCCGCTTCCTCCCTCCCGTGCTTTGTGAACTTTCCTTTCTCTTGGCAGCCATTTGGTGCTGGGCACAGCCATCGGGCATCAACAGCTGGACAGCCCAATTCTCCCAGCCAGTCTCGTATTCCGTTATTCGGCGGCATCGCCAGAGCCGCTGTGACGTCAGCTGCCGGGCATTGGCGCGTTTTTTGTTCGCCCGCCACCGTTCCCTCAGCGTTTGCCGCACAGACGTTGCGGGCGGCGGCGGCCGCCGAGCCTGGAGGTCACCTTGGAACCAGGCCGCATGCCGGCAACAAACACCGCGGCGCGCTGCTGCCACCAGGCCTCTGCAGTGCGCAGCCTTGGGCCGCTTCGTCGCCAGCTGAACGGCGGCGCGCTTCAGCTCGGCCGAACATCTCGGCGCGGCAGATGCCGCCAGCGACGCCGGGCGAGTCTGCTGCCGGACCGCCGACCGGCGCGGTGTCGCAATCGGCTGTTTCCCAGCCGACCCAGTCGGGGCCAGCCCCAGAAAACCAAGGCTGCGCCAACGGAGCGCGCGCACCCGCCCGGACGGCGGTACGCGCTGTGTGGGGAACTCCCGAGCACGCGGTATCCGCGCGCCGCGGCGTTTATTCGAAGCCATTCAGGGCGGGTGGTCGAAGTCACCAGGTTTGACAGTGACAGAATAGCGACATGTCCGGCTTCCAGCCCAGCGGAGGTGCAATGTCCGAAATCACGAAAATTCAGGACGAGACAGTGCTCAGCAAAAACCCCAGCATTTGCGGCTGCTATTAAAGCATCGCGGTGCACTCAGTCGTGACAGGGGCAGACTTTTACGGAACACAGGCCGGTTTTCCTACAGTTCACCGAAACTAGGCTTCCAAAGCAAGGCAGTCGTCCTTTCTGAGGCCAATCTATCAACACCACACGCCTCAGAGCCACGACTCAGAGACCTCTGACACGGCTAATGGACCCCATCGCTTCGGAGACCTCTGGCACGGCTAATGGACCCAATCGCTTCAGAGACCTCTGGCACGGCTAATGGACCCCATCGCTTCAGATAACTCTGGCACGGCTAATGGACCCATCGCTTCAGAGACCTCTGGCACGGCTAACGGATCCCATCGTTTCAGAGAACTCGGACAGGGCTAATCGCTTCAGCTGGGCTTACAAGTTCATCTTGGGCTTATATTTTCAAGATGCCTGAAGGTTTTGAAAATGGCAGGCGTGTGAAGTAAGAGATATGCAGACATTGGTATTTAGTGTGGTACGGTGAGACCAAATGGCCGCCAAATGAGAACCATCTGCATTTTGGGACTGCAGTAGTGTGGTAGAGAGACCTTTCGTTCGGAACACTTGGCAAGCATGGAAGAAGGGGGTCGAAACAAAATACCAAAGCAAGGATTTGTTAAGAAGGAATCCAACGAAACGAAAGGCATCTTACCCATCATTTGCCCTTTACGGAAAGTATGGTACGTAATGTGTGCCTCAAGCATTACCTTTCTTGCAGATTGTTGAGCCAGGCGTTCAGTGGCCGACACGCTCCACCCTGTTGCTCGTTAATCTCCCACGTGCCTTACTCTCTGTGGCATCCCCTTCCTGCTGACCGCATCCCACCCATTATTCCACGTCGAACATCCAACAGAGCCTTACTCACCCACGTACCGCAATTATTGCTTTTCGTCAAACATGTGTTATGGATGGACTAATAATCAAACACAAAAAGCCAATGGCATCGTCCAGTGATGCCGCCCTGCCGCCAAGAGGATTTGGTCTGAGACGGCGCCTGTGATCTCTAGCAGCTGTGGGGCGACGCCACCGCGGCCCTGGCCGAACGATCCGCCTCCAACACACCCACCTGATTACCGCGCTCGTTTTCAGCGTTTTTAGTGGAAGCGAAAAAGCTCAGAATAGGCTGCAGTGCTATATGGTTGTGACGCGCTCATATCTAGTGGTATTTGTACTTAGCTTGAGCAAACTGTGGAGTATAAGTGCTCGAAATACTCAAGCCGGACCTTCAAGTTAGCTAATCAGGCTGGAGCGGTGTAGATTCCAGATTTGGCCCGCAAAGCACGTGCAATATACTCGCCGACCAGCCCTGTGGTTTATGACCTGACCACGAAGGCTGAAGGTAAGGCGGAACGCAAGCCGCTTTATGACGTCACCGGGGTGGCGGCTGTCCTGGCGCTGTCGCGCCATTCAATCCTGACTGCTTGTCAGAACGGGCTGGAAAACCGCACACCCCGCTCTTTCCTGGTACTTCAGTGACACAGGGGGACTACCCGCGGAAGACGATGCTCTGATTATCCACACAAAGAGTTTCAGGCACCCGAACACACTGGGGCATTCAGCCGAGAGCTTTAAGCATTTCCAAACGCGGCCAACTTCTCGTCCTGCAATCTCAAAAACTAGTCTAACAAATAGATCCAGAGTCCGTGCGCAATAATCATCCATTACGTTTGAGTTTTGTACGGGCTCGCCGGATCTCTCCATCACCATCCCTGCACGAGCGGACGACCCTCGCTTCGTCTGTTCCCAACCCGCCCCCAACCCAGCGTGTGGCTCTCCGATGCACCGCGGCAAAAGTGCTCGTGGCTGCAACACGGCAAATGTGCTGGTGGCTGCACCGCGGCCCGTTCGCAGCCGCTGGCCCTCACAGTCAGAGTGACCAGGCCCTCCACTCAATGGCAGCCGCGCGATGCCAGGCCGGCTCTGACCGTTACCCGGACCCGCGCGCGGCACGTGCACGGCCGACAGGTGCCGGCCGTGCACGATGTGCGCAGCCCGCAAGGCGGTGCTTTCGAAACGTTCTCCGGAGAGCACCACTTGCATAATGTGACCGCCGAGCGGTGCCGGTCATGTGGCCAACGGCAGGCCAACAGCGCCGGCGAGCGTGCAGAGCGCGCGGCCCGGCCGTCCGGTGGCGCGGCCCGGAGGCGGGCGCACCTGCAGCTGTTGATTACCGGCTCCGGCAGGACGGCGAGCTCAAAGGCGCACGCCATCGCGTCCGGCGAGGCTCATCACGGCTCAGCTGCGCCTGGCAGGACGTGGCCCAAAGGCGATTCAGTGCGGACTTTTGGAGCGAAAGCGGCGAACACGCCGCGCCGGTTCCAGCCGCTGCTGCCCTGTGACCTTGCACCGCCATAATTTGGCGTCGGGTGAACGAGCCAGTTGCGGTCAGGCGGTGCGGCTGCGCAGGACGGGAGGGCGTCGCCCGCAGCCGGCGCCGGTCGTCGCGCCCGCTGCGCTCCCGCCGCTCTTTCACAGAGCTAACTGCTAAGTGGACCTTGGCCCGCATGTACGGAGATCAGACCTTGCCTAATTGCTGGGCTCTGACGACTGCCACACGCTCTGGTATGGTCGGGGGTACCACGAAATACCTGCCTTTCGAATGGGCTATAACTTGATGCGAATCGGCACTCTCCAAGCGATCCGCCCAACAAGCACCAAGGCACTGCATGCATTCGTAGTTGGTCAACACCCAGAGCCAACCACACCGGGGGACCCAGAGGTCACGGAAGCCCCTGGGAAGACGCGTTTAGGGGTGGTCGGCGTTGCAGTCCCGGCTAGCCGCCTGTGTGGCGTTGTGGGCCTGTCCGGGAGCGCTCCGCCACCTGCGACCGTCGCCGCACCGCCGTCGGCGGCGACCCGCCCCGGCCGGCACGCACAGGTCCGCCACGATCCCGTTCGCACGACCACCGCCTACCGGATAGTCCAGCGCCGCGGCCATGGACATGAACGGGAGTCTGACTGGCATGAAGAGGGGTCTGGTGCAAACCGACCATCTCATGCGGCCTCTGTAAGGCCACATAATGCTGTCTGATGCCGCAACGCTGCATTCAACCACAAAACAATGCACTTTCCGTTATGAGCGTTTTGTGGTTTCAGTCTGGTCCATTACCGTTGGCTGCGAAAACTCGTGGGTGCAGGAACACCTGTGGTTGGCATGCAATGCTTTACTGCCACTACCACGTCTGTGATGGGGTAACAGCGAGCGTGAGGCGGCGGAGTTTGGAGAGGGGCAACCTGGCTCTTCCCCACTGCTTTACTGCCACTACCACGTCTGAGATGGGGTAACAGCGGGCGTGAGGCGTCGGGAGTTTGGAGGGTGGCAATCTGGCTCTTCCCCAATCCCTTCCTAGCAAGAAGGGCAAGGATCCCTCTGGCGGAACCCAAAGCTGCAATCGGACAGTTTAGGACCCTCTGACTGTCTGCGGTGTGAAGAGACCCTCTCCCCTAGACCCTCTACCAGACAGACCCCTTCTTACCAGAGACCCTCTACCAGCTTAGGTGAGTGACCGCGCGATACTTAGTCCGTTTTTGGTGATTCCCAATCAACGCATTTAGTGTGTAACACAAGTGTAGTGACGAAGCCACTGGCACGCGCCGCGGCCAAATGGCCCAGGTGACGCGACCAGCAGATGTCGCGGCGCGCGAAGGAGCAGAGAAGTGCGGCGGGGAGCGGGGAGAGGCGCGTCAGCGGGCGGGGAACAGCGCGGGTGACCTGAGGCACGGAGGGCACGTGGACCAGGGTACAGCCAACATAATGGTGCGCAGAAACCCGACACCTCACAACAGGCGGCGTCAGTCAGGTGGCTGCGCCCCCGCGACGTGGTCTGAGCCGCCTCAGCTCTGACGTAGGAGCTCTGGCCGCGTGCACGCGCGGACCGCCGCCCGCCCCGGTCTGTCACTCTATATACTTTGCAGCGTTTCGATATCCCGATATCCTTCCCGCGCCTTTTTTGTCGTCCGTCCCACACGCGGTCGCAAAGTGGTGTTCTGTCAGAAAGGTGACGGGGATGGACGTGGGAGGACGAGACCGAACACCATTTTGGAAAGACATTTTGAAGGTTGAGACGATTTTGTGATGCTCGAAAAGGATGCTGTGACATAGTCTGGGGGACATTAAGATACTTTGGGAACGGAACACGCTAGAAGGGTTTGATGTCCCAACCTGTCTGCACATCATGCGGAGGTCTGTGTGAGTACTCTGCGGAAGTTTTCAAACATACCAATTTGCAAGGTTGCGTAATATCGCTCATCCTCACTCGCACAGACCGCAGCCAAATCCGTCAGTTTACGGTATTAAAGCCTTTCTAATGGTGTCGATGGAAACTTGGAGTACGACCGGCGTGCGTTGCCAGCGAAGTTACAATTTTGATGTTT